ATATATATATATATATATATATATATATATATATATATATATATATAGATTATAGACGCATACATATATGTATGGTTTTTAACGGTGAGTATTTAAGTTAGTGTTCATTTTGTATAATCATGTACCTACTTGTTCAATAAAATTGTATTACCTATTAAATAATGTAAGGAATTTATTAAGTGTTTAATATATTTTTAACTGCAGTAAACTTATTAGTAAATATAGTCATTAATAACTAATGACAGCGTGTTCAATTTGTTTTAAAATGCATTTATTTAAATTAAAAATATCAGTTATTAGGGTGATGTAAATTCAATTTTAAAGAATCTCACAGAATTATAAGAGTGGTCCAACTGAACATTGAAGGCTTAACAAGGGCTAAATCTTACATCATAAGAAAAATGTTCAAAGATGTAAATGTGCTAGCAATACAAGAGACCCACGAGCCGGAAGGCGAGAAAATAACTCGTAGAGTTATCCGTAAAATGTTATATGCATAAATAATATATTAAATTTTCTAAGTTTTATGTATGTTTGGATGCAACATAAAATGATCTGGATCTTCTATATTACGCTGTATACTGTGTTATTTTTTAGTTATTAACTTAAATATTCATTATGCAATAAAAAAAATCTACACTAAGATGATACTTTTCTGATTGGTTTTCCAACATTTGGCAAATTTTTTCAAGGGATCGGAAACAAGCATCCCTCGATTCTTGCACAGATAATCTCTCTATTACGTGGTCATAAAACGAATATGGGAGGTAAGTCTCCATGGTTTTCACATTTTGAATAGCAGAGCATCGAAAGTTTGTTGTTCTTAACCATCGGGGCACGGATTTCAATTGGTTCAGAATATCGTCTATTGCTGTGGCGACACGGTCCAATATTGTTGAGAGGTCGGGATCGAAAACAAAATGTGTGTTAATCAAGCGTCCTCTAACAACGAAAACTGCTCGATCTTCATCTAATAGTTTTTTCAACGTGATGTAATTATTTATTACCATTCTACAATTGGAATAAGATAAGATTTTAAACACAGAAATAACATGCAAACATACGTCTAAATTTTTCTATTGATTAGTATTATAGAATGAGTATAATTTTATGTTTATTTATTTTATGCCAGTATTGACTAATGGCAGATCTAAAATAAATATTTCAGATGGATATTTAAATGTAGAGCCGTATATTTTCATAATGCATGCACCAAATACAACATTATCTCCACATTTTCCCGCCTTAATTTTTCTTTACGTTTCAAATCTCTTAAATAAATCATTCATTTCATCAGTCAATAAAAAGACATTTCCCAACAAAAATATGAATATGAATATATTATTTGTATACAACGGGTTAAATTCTACTTACATTTTCATATTTTATCGTGTATGCAATAATGCATTTCGTTCAATTACGAATAAGAAAAATAAATATTTCGGAATAGAAACTTAAAATTATATTGTTATTTATCACTATTAGTCATACATTAAGACGTTTAATGATAAATTATATGATCAGGGGCGTATTTAGATTTACTTCTAAAAGGAGGGGGTGACTCAAATGTTTTCTTTTTTTAATTCAGGCTTAAAATTAACAAGTAAAATTTTTGGTAATATTTAAATCAGGTGAATCCTTAATATTTATGATTTTTTTTTTTTTTTTTTTTAATCTAATGCTGAATGTTTAATCCACTTAGAATCGACTTTTGTGTAATTCTTTTTTAACACTTGTCTGTGTTTTGAAAGTTACGTTTGTGTTTTATTTGATTTTTCACTAAGTATGGACCCGACAAAAATCCCGATTCAGTATTCAGTATCAAAGCCATGTGTAATTTGATTTCGTTATAAAATGATCCACATTAAAAAAAAATTGAAATGTGTATCTCACATATAATCAATTCCTTAAATTTGGATTCAGGGGAGGGCGATCGACCCTTTGCCCTCCTAAAATACACCCATGTACAGTATACTATACTAAAAATAACTATACCACATCAAACTTTAAGATAGGAAAGCTTATTGCTACTGGATATAATACCGACATCGAATCCGCCGTTAATCGCTGTTCAATATTATTTTACCTGGTAAAAGCATCAAATAATGCATTTTCGTATTTTTCGTAGTATAAACGCATACGCTTATGACAACCCGTTGCTGTACCAAAACAGGTATGTTCTATTAAATTTATCCCTTGTGCTATATAGGTCATTGCGCCGGTTATGACCGCGACGTTTCCATTTATTCGTGCCTTGAATTTATCAAACGTTTCCTGCGAATATTTAAAATCAGCATAACAATGCAATTAAAACTTTATTTAAAAAAATACTAATTGTTATAACATGTAATTTTTAAGTATACTTACTGAAATATCTAATATGTTATTTTCTTCGTAAAAATCTGTCGGAAAGAACGTTAGATTTTCAATTAACTCAATGGTTTTAGTTATGTCTTTTTCATACTAAACATAAAATTACATTCATTTATTAAAACGTTCTTAAATTTCTTGTAATAATAGTAAAGCCATTACTGATTTAATAATAGATAAAATGCTGTTGATTTGTTTTAAACAATTGAAACTGTTTTCTATGAATTGAGGCAACTTCATTGTTACAAGCGAGTTTTTCTTTTCAAACCCGGGTTGTAAATGAAACTTTATTTGATCGCACCAAGAGTTCATTACTAAAAGCTATAGATTATAACAAAATCGCATTACAATTGTATTACAAAAGCTCTGTTTTCATATCACTCCCATACCAAATTGAATCTAACCACCTTTACTTCAAGCCTTCGCGGCATGTCACGTCTTTCCTTAACTTTTATTTAATTTCCACGAAAATTTCTTCTCTAATATTATGTTCGAACTAACTCAATTTTTATCTAAAATTCGTGTTACTCCTAATAGCTAAAACTTATTTACTCATTTTTTATTTTGTCTTATTTAATCAATAAATATTACCTACCTTATACAAGTATATATTAGCATTATACTATAAAATATTCTGAAAAATAGTTATGATGTAGGTGTAAATTCTTTAAAATGTATGAGAAATTGCACATTTACATTAAATATTTAAAAATAGTAAAGCAATTTTTATTTTTGATATAAATGTATACTTAGTAATTATTAATTTATCTGATTATAATATGATTAATAATGATTATAATAATCTGATTTTAGAAAACCTTTTCATGTGGTATTAAATAAATCATTATTTCTAAGACAATAACTACGATTAAGTAGCAAATATGTATTATTAATATTATTATTGAACTACTTACAACTGGAGCGTCTTTGCTTATTTTATCTACGAATTCATTGTATAATCCTACGAGCTTGTCTATTTGGAATTTGTTGTAATATATATCATATCGACTCTCAACTAAAATCATCAAATCCTTCGGCATATCAAATTTTAGAAGTAGTAGATGACGCACTGTGTTCATGAAGCAAAATATTTCTTTCTAACATTTTAAAAACAAAAATAGGTAAATACAATTACCCAGGAAAAATAATTATTTATAGGTACGTACATTAAATCTAGATACAAGTTTATTTTCATCAAAAAACATCAAATCGTTTTTATTCCTCAGGTAATGTTTTTCGAATTTATTAGCATCTTTCATCCATCTCTGATACGTTTCTTTTTCGTAATTATAAACGTTTCTTACAAAATGATTGTATTCCGACAATAACTAATAATAAATAAATAAATAAATAAAAATATCAGACATGCAGGCAGTGGCGGTTTTTTTTAATTTTCTCTGGGATCCTTTTACATTATCTTATAATATATAAAGACAAACAATGATTAACTCATGGATTAAGGAAAATATAATTACCTAAATAGGCAATAGCTGTAATAAACATTAAAATATGTCTGTATATACGGTTGAAATCATCAGATTTATATATAAGCGTATAAGCGTACCTATAATTGTATATCCGCATATAAAATATAATATATTACAACCTAAACGCGTTACCTGGGGGGGGAGGTCCAGACTCCCTGGACTCCCCCGTAAAACCGCCACTGCATGCAAGTTCACGGTGCTACATATTATAAGTGCTTATATTTATATACTTTAATTTTCTTTACCTCTGGAATATATAGTTCTGATCTGATAATTTTAATATTAGTATTCACTCGTAAAGTCAAACCACGTGCCAAAATTATGTTTTTTGCCACTGCCATCATTGTTTGAGGAGATGATTTCAATGACTGTAATTTAAACAATGATAATATGAACATTTATAACTGATAAATATGGGGGATTTCATCTCACCTCAAATTGAGTATGAAAATTCAATAAGTCTCTGTTTAACTTTTTATAGCCAGTTTTTTTATTCGACTCACTTAACATTTTCGTGGAATGATATAAAGTTATATTATAAACTGAACAATTTAAAAATAAATAAACATATGAATTCGATCCTTTTTGGTATTTGTAAATTTCTTTTAATAAACCTATTAATTGTATAATGTGTAGATCCAACATTTTTTATAAATCAGTAACTAGTAATAGAATGAAATTACTTCTAAACGATAAATTGTATTATAATTTAAGTACCTACCTATAAGAAATCTTGCTTTTGTAATTTACCATTTAACATTGTAGAATTACGTACCATAAGTTAAAAATGTATAATTCAATTAATATCAATAATATGTAATTTCATATAAAAATGTAGATAAATGTACGCACCTAGATGTTCTAAACAAAATACTACATAAGAAGTTATATCAAAATAAATGTAATTTTATGTATTATTTGATAAGATGACTTACGTTAAATCTGAATTAAATAATACGTATTGTAAATTTTAATATGTTTATATGAATAAAAAACACCATAGCATCTCAAATTCTATAAATTCTTTAAAGAATAAAAATATTAATATCTTTGGATTACTTATTCATTTTACGATTACAATTGATAAGTAATTCCTCTTACCAACATTATCTCATTAACGATGTATGTAGGGGCGTATACAAGGGGGTGAAGGTCAGATCCCCTCTATAGGTCTTTTTAAAATTGTATAAAATGTTCTTAATGTAAGGAAATTATAAGGAGAAAAAAAATATTGCAAGGATTTACTGTAAATTATTGTTTTGACACATTAAATATATATATTTATATCTTTTATAATTTATTATTTAAATGTGCAGGTACTTAGATTTAGGAATTTTCTTTCCGTAATTACAACTAATTCCCCCCTCCATACAAAAGTTATGTATAAGCCACTGGATGTATCCATGTCAGTTTTAATCTCAGATATATAAAAACGGGCATCCGGAATTAGGCCACCACAATTTACCTTTTTTTAAAAAAAGGTATACGGCTATTGAGCAGCTAAAATTTTACATTTATTTTACATGTAGACTTGGTGATTAGGCTACTTAAATTTTATCATTAGATATTGATATATTAAAAGATATAAACCAATCCTACAATAATCAGCTACGGATTGGATAAATTTGGCTCACCAAGTTTTCTGTACGTTACCGGCCCACTTACAAACTGGCGACCCTTAGCCAAATTTTATTTTAATCGCATATTTCAATTGGTACACAAATCTTTCCTAATTAATATTTAATACAAATACAACGAGGAGCATTATATTATGTTATTTAAGTTAATAACATTTGTTAAAGGTTGTTAAAATGTAATAGTTTCACCCAATTTAGATTTATATTGCTATACATGTGTGTTTGATTATAATAAATTATGCGACACAGCAAAATAAATACACAACGGGCAATAATCAATACATAATATGTATATTTTAAAGTGAGATAATTAAATTAGAATGTTAAAATATTGACATATTCACATATATAAGTAATATATTGTATATATATATAGTACTCGTATAATACGGTATCCCGAAAAAAAAGTACCAAAAAAAAAATTCTTCTGCATTACTTAAATAGAAATTAATATTTAATTTAATAGAGAAACATATTTTAATGCTGTTATTACAGTTGTTTAATTTCTTTTAAAATTGATCATAACTAAAGTACTTCAAGGTTGTTATAATATTCGATGCAAGTTTACTACAGAATTTATAAGATAGTTTTGAGGAAATATCTAATGATCTAAAATGTTTTCGTAGTTGATGACTACACTGAGACACCGTCTACCTATCAGTGATGGTTATTATGTGGGTGGGTGGATCGCCTCCTCCCTTTGGATTTGGTTTATTTAAATTTAGTATATCGCTGGCCCAACAACACTTATCTACAAATTTTCGAATTTTTGATTTGATGGCAAAATATTTTTACGTTTTAACCACGGATAATATTTTATCATACCTATTCTATGTCTCGGTCGCGTACAATCGATATAATTATATTATAAGATAAAGTTTATAAGTCAATACATTTATTAATCTTTTTTTTTTTTAATACATTAATGTTAAAGTGTGTTAATATTATTAATATATAAACATTTTTATACATTTATACCAATAATCCGTTTGTATATTTTATTTTATTATATATATAATTGCTATGGGGTGGGAGACAGTTGGGTTTATTTTTGCCCTCTCTTTGAACATCATGTATAACCACTGCTACCTATATTACCTATATTAATAGTTTATTTCTGTACTAATTAGTATGCGTGCGTTTCTAACTTGATAGTCAGAAAATAATTTTTATTTGGTACATCAAAATAAATTTTTAACGTTATAGAAATAGCCACTTGAACTAATATACAGGTACTCGAATTGATGAATAAAAATTACGTCAATAACACACGAAAAAACCATATGAAATAATCTTGATGATTCACGTGTCATAGTACATTCATGGTGAGTTAATGATTTTATTTTTATTAAACTATGGGTATTTTTTTTTTTTTTTTTTTTCTGGTAATAACTTACTTATCTCCAGGATTCACCACTTAGTATACGACTATTACGCATTGATTAATTGGTATTCTCATTGCATTTTAAAGGTATGTCATCAGTAGCAAATTCAATAGTGTTGTAACTACTCTCTGCCGCGCCCTTGGCGATTTTAATTTTATTGCTTGTTTTATACAAAAAATATAGATTTTAATTCAAATGCACCCCTTACTTTGCTACACCTTTGGGCACTACCCATTTTGCCAACCTCTAGCTATGGCACTAAGATTCAGTGTTATAATAATATATACAAATATACGAAATATACAAAGTTATTTATTAGACAGGTAAATAAAATATTCAATATTAAAAATATTAATTCGAAGTTATCACATTAGTATTCGCGAACATATTGTAAATGTACACATACATAATATACTTATAAACATATTAATAATAATTTACTGAAAAGAGTTGTTTGAATATTTACACAAACACACCGTAGTGCTGTACATAGTTTTAGGGCGAGATGTTGATGAATTGCCTGTCCGACTGCAGTGGCTGGATAGCATTATTCGGACACTCATCGTCGGATTTCAACAACACCGTGTCCACGTACGACGTCAGTCGCGTAATAAGCGCAGCCCTGAACGAACGAGGCGCTTCCAACCATGCCTTATCCATGGCCTCTTCGGCTATGACTACTTTTTCGGCATCGTTCAATTCTTCGATTCTGTCTACGTTTACTTTCAACTCCAGCAAATACATGGCTTGGACGAATTTGGGGTTTACCGTGTCGCACAGATAGTGGAGACAATTTGCTAACGACCACGGCAGGTCTTGCAGGTTCTCCAATATCAACACTTCGTTTTCCTCGAGTGGCTTCATCAGCTGAAACGTGTTTGTGAAAATTTAACGAGTTATGGCCGTACACAAGTAGTGATCGTTAGGTTAGTTTCAAACGTTTTCAAAATTATTTATACGCAAACTTATGTTATGAAAATTGCTATTGAAACTAATACGAAATATGGGCGCATGTAAACTCCCCTAAACTTAAAATTGAAACTGTTCTATAACAAACTTCTATTTAACGTTATTTTATGTTTAACAAAATATTTTTGCGAACCTTGGTCTTCATTGTAAATTATGAGTAAATTTATCACTGTACAACGAATATGTTTCTATATCACGGATTAACTGTTAAAAATAGACCGGATTTTGTAAAACATACTAATGGATTATGCCACTGTAAAATATGAAATATTATTTTAAAACCCTACAATTTGAAAAAGTGGACCATACCATAAACTTTCATAATATATATACGCAAAAGTGCGCAAAAATACGGCATAAATTATTAAATCAGCTAATAAAAAAATATAAACAACAAACAATTACAAAGTTCCAATATATAAAATCAGATTCACATTATTACTCAATCAAACATTAATATCACAAAATTAACAAGAACTATTGATGATTATAATAAAAAATTATATGATGGAATAGCTACAAATATACAAATTCAAAATACTAATATCAGAAAAAACAATTTTTGGAGAACAATGGAACTGCCTCCACATGGAAACGCCAAATTCTTCTAATATAAAAATATAAATACCTAATATAATATAATATAATTAGCATAAATTCAACAGCAATATGTTTCAGGGAAATTTAAAATGTTTATATACATATAATTCAGTAGAAAAATGCTTTTAGGGGAGTTTATAAAAAGCCCCGAAATATATATATATATATATATATGTTGGATTAGTAAAAAATATGAATATTTTAAATACCTTAAAATAGTACAAAAAAGTCAAAATTTATTGAAATTCCACCATCTCTAGAAAGCGTTGATTTTACCATTCAATGACAATCTCAAGTTTTTACAATTTTTTTTTTAATTTTTTTTTTTTTTGAGCTTTGACAAAAAATATTTCACTTCATAGAAAATACTAGTAACCCATTAATTTTGCAAATATGATGAGTAAATTACTTAAGTAATTAAATATTAACATTTTCTAATGATAGTATAAACTTTATATTGTAAATATTAATTATAAAATAATCAGAACTTTAATCAATTAATGGTGAAATAAAATTGTTTGTGTCATTTATAGTAATAACTTTTTAATTAATTTGTAATAATTATTCAATTATTTCAATTTTAAAGCAAAATTGATGATAATATTTTTCACCAAGTTGTTAAGTGGTTAAATAAACTTTTGATAAGTGTAGTAAAAATTTAATATTCACAGAAAAACCAATTACCTTTTTATGCAGTAAGTCTAAATCACTAGAACTTGAATATGGAACCCATTCAGACGCATTCATCCATAAACTCTTCATAGTTTTGGTAAATATATTTTTCTTGGCTATAGAACTTGTGTAAGACGCTAGACAGTCAGTAGCCTTTTTGTTTGAATCATCATGCAGAAGCAGAAAAACAAAAGGTTCGCCTGGTTTTTTAAGTCGCAATAAACCACCATTCACTTTTTTTAAGAAGCTCTTGTTTAATGATGGAAATGTATTATTTAGTCTTTCAAGAGTTGACTTTAATGTAGTAACAGTAATAGCCAAATCATTACTATTAGTAAATAATGGTATGATAAAAAATGAAAGAATGGCAAGCAACAGAACAATAATTGTTATTATCCATTTGTTTATCGGCAAAAATTTACTATTTTGATATGGTATATTTATTCTATTTTTTGGTCTTATAGAGTCTAAAATAATAAATTTAAATTTTTATGTTTAGTTCTAAATATTAAAACATGCTAAAAAATTAATTGTACTCACCAGTACTTGGTTTCCGATTATAACGGTTGAGTCTAATATTTATTGTATGTTTGTTTATACATTCATTGCATTTTGTTAATATTCCCTCAGGATTTATGTTACTCTTTAAAAATGTATAATTCTTTGAAGTATCTTCAGGAATATCTTGTGGAATAATAAAATATTTAGAACATTCAGAACACTGTAATCATAAAAATTATTAAGAATAACTAACATAAAATAATTATTTACAAGTCTTAAATTTAAGCAAGTGAGATTGTTGAATAAAAATGCTTTTTATTTATGTTAATTCATTGTTGACAGTAACTCTCATAAATTTAACTGAATAAATTTATAATATATAATACTATTTAGATTTGTAATAGTAATAGATCAATAAAAATATATTAGAACCATGTGATTCACTAAAATATACAATAGTGACAAACCAAAATATTTGTTATAATATCTCAATAATAGTTATTAAAAGTTGATCAAATTGAGAAAAAAAATATAAAATAAAATATCTTATTCGGAAAACTTATTCTCTACAATCAACACATTTTTTATATTTTAGAATTAATAAAGTAAGCAAGATATAAGCTAGGTACACATAAAACCTTGTTAATTTTGTTCTTTTTCATGTTTTAAATTTTTAACATACCATATTAAAACTATTAATTAGGTAATTAAAATAAGAAGTGTACTTAATTTAAGTTCTGAATTAATGATACAGTTAAGTTCCTAGAAAATAAAATGTTAAACAAGACAAATACACTTCTTAATAATACCTGTACTATACACAGTCAGCTGAGTAAAAATATCAATAATAAAATTGTTTTAAACCTCAAAAACTATTTATAAATAAACGTATTGAATAATTCTACTATAAAAAACTGATAAACATTTATCGGATCATGAAAATAATTCTACAACGAAATAACTAAACAATGTTGAACGAAGTAAAACAAGCAAAGATTTATATTATTTTAATTATCTGAATATATTCAAGTCTACAATAAACATAAAATATAACAACATGTTTTCAATGCACAGACCAGGTATTTCATTGTTCTAGGTATGTTGGATAAAACATCAAGTGTAACGTTATACGAATCGAAAATTGTGACAGAATATTCATCACGAAAACCGAAGTGGAATGTTGAACATTCCGATTCGAATAGATATTAAAAGTATAAAAGTTACACACCTTAATGGAAGCAGGAACATTTGTAGCCATTACGGCGTAAACGATTCAAGTATTCTTTCCACGGTGGCAAATAAATCGTGCCTATTACATGTATAACGATGTATTTTGTATTGGCAAACGATATCGGTGGAATTAAAATGATATATTAATATGTTTACACCACAGACATACGAAATAATGGACCGCACACATCAAATCCTAGAAGTGCACTCGGTTGAAGCATTGATCTCCACAGGACACGACTGGACAACCGACTCGACATTATCAATGAAGCAAAGCCGCCGTATGCACCGAACTGAATATATTATTCAGTTCGGCGGCCATGTGTGATACCGTCAATGCTTACATCAGTGGTTTTCAACCATTTTAACAATGCGGCACATTTCATCTCCAACAAAATTTTCGCGGCACACCAATCCATATATTATGTGAACCGTATTTTATATATAAGTATATGTGTATGTAAACTGAATACATTCAACTCTATTAGAGGGTTATTTATTGTGAAATATATTAATACAATCGATCGATCGAGACGGTTGCGACGGGCACACTTACAATGAATAATATTACAATCAGTATATGTATCTACAATTAGTTCGATCAGTTTTCATCTCGAATATCAATATTAAGCTGGTAAATACATAATTATAAAACAATTTATTGATTCATCGCACACCAGTTGGGAACCACTGACTTACATTGTTAACCTTATCACAGGAAATATTCATGTCATAAACATTGAATTCTACATGATATCATATAGAGTTCGATTGTCATAAATCGTTATTCTTTAAAACAACAGTCGTTTCAATATTTTATGTGCCTTTAGTCTTTACTTACAATCGTGTAATTGTGAAATCGTTATAATACCGGTTATATACGTCCAATAAATATCCATTTATTATAAAACATTTTCTGTAAAGTTTAATAATATAAACGTTGTACACGTGAACTATATAAGTTTTAGTAGTATCATTTTTAATGCATTGAATAAAAACTTAGTACTTTATATTTGATTTTAAATATTCACTATTTGTTACTTTTCTTACATTTCTCATAACGGATTTTTGTTACATTACCGGGCACTCTTATTTTTTTTTTTAAAAAAAACCGAAATGTTTCGACGTATTAAAAATTATGTTGAAAAAAAAATTTGGCGAAAATCATTAGTTTTTGAATTATACAATTTTGAAAATTCCGAATTTTTAATGATATCGTGTGAACACACTTATAATTAGATAATATTTCTTCACAATGAAATTCACCTTATAATCCAATCAGGGGTGGATCCAGAATCGGGGAACTGTGGGTCAAGCCATTTCAAGAGGCCATTTATTAGGGATGAAACTGAATTAGTAATGAATACCTTGTAAAAAAAAAACACAATATGCTCATAAAAGTGTATAAATATACTTATATTACATTTTAGAATTAGTGATACCACCGATAATGACTTATTTACGAATAATTTTATCAGCGACAACAAACGTACGGAATAAAATATGATTTACTTAACTTTCTTCTAAAACGATACAATTTAAAATATAAATTATGAATTGAAAAATTTTAAATTTTGAATATACATGGCATTTATTTTTCAAGTAACTCCGATGGGCCAATTGTCCAAGAGTCCAAATCAAGGTTTAAAAAGAGAAAAAATTTCCAAGAGGCCAATTTTGTTAACAAATATTAACTGTGGGTCAGCTGACCCCCTGAACCCCCCTAGATCCGCCCCTAAATCCAATGGTTAATAACTGATAGCCTTATGTTGAAAATACCTGGTTCTAATCTCCCTTAGCATAGCTTAATATTTTTGCATTTTTTTTCCGAAAAAAGGAACTTTAATTTTTAAAATTTTAGGACTTCGCTCGCTACGCCTACCGGCTCCGGTCTTAAACTTGAATGCCACTCAGTGTCACTTTTCGCCGAGATGGGATTTCATCCCAAAGGGAATTATAGTCTAAGCCTAACCTAATTTTTGTACAAACCTTGATATTGTTGCGGGTGGGATAATGCTTTGTATGTGAACTTAAAACCTCGCTACGTGAGTAAATCACATATCTCGACCACAAAGGATATTACACTATGAAAAACTGTTAATTCACAAAAATATAATTTTATTGAACACATCAAGATTTAAGCCAGTTAATTTAAGATAAGGCAAAAAAGTAGTTTCAAGCTTTAAATACAATAAACAGTACAAAATAAGTAATTTTGTTCTTCTAAGTCTAAGTATAGAATCTTTGGGTGAAACCATAGATTAAATATGGTAAAACTGATAAAGATTACTATTTATGATAATATTACGTATTTATTACGCTATAGCTAACTTCTAATTACTATAACTTCGTTGAAACCAAGTGCGACGCCAAATTCTGATTTCACCATCGTTTTCAATATACAAAAGTACAAACGTAGAAACAACATAGGTACCCTAATATAATAACTAATCTCGGGTATTAGAAAAAAATAAAAAAATTTTAAACAGCATTATTCATACATTATTATACATCATTATTTACATCGTATACAGCCGGTAATCACAAAAGATGTTGTTTACCGGGATATTTATAATGTATATTATAAACACAGATATAAAATATCGTTATTATTGTAATTATTTGTTATTATTATTATTTTAATATTACGTATTCACATTACCAATATGCGTTATCAATACAGAATTTTTAAACATAGCCAGCTTTGAATATGGCGGTCATGATTCATGTCCTCCTGTAATGTTATATAGGAAATTCCTATTAGGAAGTCGGCTATCTAGTTGTTTTATACAACTGCACTTGTTGCTAGTGATGGGTCTAATCAAATGATCAGTACGTACTTTTATTATTTTTTAACTGGGTATTATCTTTTTGTCCTTTCAAAGTGGGTGGCTGCGTGAAGTTGTCCCTCTTCATTTTAATTTTGAATTAAAAATTCCAAAATTGCATATACAATTATTTGCTATTTATAAACGATAAGACAAAATACGCCAGATTCAGCGCGTAAATCGTCTTGCGACGATTATGATCTTGTGTAGTCATATACATTATTCATGTAACTACACACTTTCAACTGTTCGTATGGGGAAACTGTCGAATACTGGAATGGTGAAGGAATCTGATAAGTTGTCGACCACACGATAGAAGAAAAAGACTGTATATAATTATATTTCCTCGGTCCACCGATTATGAGTATAATATGCTCGTACATTTTACTCGGTCCAAATCCTTCGGAGCGGTTTTCACGATGCCCGAGAGTGCTCCGTTATATACATTTATTACATGTTACCTCTTACCGTGCGTGGAAATCATGCACATAGCGTAGACAATAAAGTTTTATCTAATTAGATCAATAGCGATTAACGACTGTTATGATACGAATTACGTTAGTGTTACGTCTATTATACGACCCGGAGCCGATACGTATCATCTTCGCTCGATGGTCCGGTGGATACAATTATAACCGCTTGTTTAACCACAATGGTTAGCACCATAGCCATGGCATAGCACGTGAAATTCATTTGCAGTTTTAATTTTACAGTTATCTTTGAAACATTTATATGATCATGCAAATGCGCGAAATCCGTACAACCATAGGGTATGCCAAATAAACGTATCGATCTCTGATGCGAGTTTCGATCCGATAAATATACGGTTATTTTATGCACAACAACATCGCTGAAACTACCGTCGATCGTTAAGGGTAGGCGGACGTTCTACAAACGCTTTATCACGGCGATAATTCAATATCATGTTAACGAAAGATGACTTTTTTTTTTATTATTATTTACACACAAATAGGTAATATATATATATATATAATAGGTATAACAAACGAGCATAATGAAGGTAGAAAAAACAAAAAACCCATTAGGCATCATAGGTGGTTAGGTTTGGTGCACGTCTCCGCGCTGGAAATGTCACCGCGTTCAAAACGAATGGCCGTGGTGCAGACCGAAATCCGGGAAGGAACTATGGTGTTGCTGTTGGTGGCCGTACACCACGGACTCGTCACCGTACTGCTGCTGGGGCTGATTGTGATGTTCACCGAAACCTACGATCGCGTCTTGTTGCGTGAACTTCTCGGGCTGCTCGTACTTGTACTGCGGCTGCTCGTGCCCGTACTGCTGCGGCTGCTCGTGCTTGTACTGCGACTGTTCCGGTTTGTACTGCGACTGCTCGTGCTTGTGGTGATGGGGTTCGTACTTGTAGGGCACGTGGACGGGTACGTGTACGGGCACGCGGACCGGGAACGGCACCTTTTTTTCAACCGGGTACGGCACGGGCTTCTCGTACGGCACCGGCACGTTCTTGTACACGTTGTACGGCACCGGCCTGTCGTACGGCACCTTGACGGGCACGGGCACGGGCTTGTCCACCGGGAACGGGATCTTCTTGATGACGGGCACGTGCACGGGCACCGGCCTGTCGTACGGCACCTTGACCGGCACGCGCACCTGCTTGTACACCGGATACCGGACCACCTTCTCCTTGTACACCGGGTACGGTTGGTCCACGTGCACGGGAACCGGCCGGTCGTACGGCACCTTGACGGGCACCGGCACCTTTTTCTCCACCGGGTACGGCTGCGGCTCGTACACCTTGACCGGGTACGGCACCTTCTTCTCCACCTTGACCGGGTACGGTTTGGGTATTTGCACGGCGCGCGGCTTATCAACCGGCACCTGCACCACGTAACGTACCGGTTTCTCCACCTCGACGTGCACCGGCACAGGGACTTTTTTCTCGATGATCGACACCTTGGGCTGCTCGTGGTTGTAGTGCTGCTGCTGCTGCAGGTAGTACTGCTGTTGCTGTTCACCGTACCCGGACTGCTGTTGCTGTTCACCGTAACCGGACTGCTGTTGCTGTTCACCGTAACCGGACTGCTGTTGCTGTTCACCGTAACCGGACTGCTGTTGCTGTTCACCGTAACCGGACTGACGGTGCTCGTCACCGAACCCGGACGGTAGCTGCTGGTGTTGTTCGTCGCCGAACCCGGACGGCAGCTGCAGCTGGTGTTGGTCGCCGCTGGTGTAATCGGACGACTGGTACGACTGCAGCTGCTGGCCGCCGTACTGGAACCCGTGGCCGGACGAGCGTTGGCCGCGACCGTGCGGCCCGACGGCCACCGACGTCCCGCGCACGCAACTGTCCGCGCACACCAACAACAACAGCAGCAGCGGCCGACGGGCGGACGGTGACATCATCGTGATCATAGGCGTGTTACTGCACTACCGTTGATGATACTCGTCCCGTATGCGCGCACGATCCCTTTGACGGTGCGGAAGACGGAACGCGTGCGTTGCTACGATGTTGGCGCGGACGAACTGGAACCGCGTGTGCCGAGTACGTTCGCGCCCGGCGCCGTTTATATGCCAACCGCGGTATCTAGACGTACCCCCGTCGGCGGGCTGGGGTGCTTTCACTTTTTTCGCTTCCTCCTTTGCCCCCCTCCCCTGCCGCCGGTTTCGGCCGTCCGATAATGATATAACACGCGCTACTGGCAGCCGGACCGCGGTCGTAGCGTCTCTAGCATCGCTCGGCCGCCGACGTAACACGGGGCAGTGCACGCGCTACCGTTGCTCAACCGCGCCCCGCGAGCACGTCGGTCGGAAACGTTTCCGGAGTCGAGTGGTCGGACGGACCCGCGCGGCACCTAGACGATCGGCGAACAGCGCGTCGCGTCCGTACCACCGCGTAACGGTACGCGCGTGTTGTGGTCCAACGTTACGGACGACGGATCGGGTTTTATTTTTCGCTAAAAGAGTATTTTTATCCGATCGAAGACGGCCTGCGGCTCGCGAACCAACGCGTAACGCGTGCGTTACCCTGCGTAACCCTGCGCGCTGTTGAACACTTCGCCCGCGCGCCGACCGACGATTTCCACGGTTTAGGCGTGCAGAAACCTTTTTTTTTTTTTCGGTTTTCTCTCGCCACCGTCAGAAGTTATCGCAACAGCGAACTGTCGTACGTGTACGCACGCGCAACGCTGGCCCCGCAAGGTTTTAGGGGCTCGGGGCAGGTTTTTTCGCGGGGCCCTAGAATGGTTTTTTTCGTCGAACACTATTGCCGCTCGGACGCCCTAGCACTCGTAAGACGTTTTATTCTGTTCTACGTGACTTACGTACAAATATTTTTCCATACCGTGGACGTCATACACCATCCGTTACGATCGTGTCGTCTAACGTTACGTCCGTCGTTTGCACGTCGTAGGCTTGAAGAGGTATCGAAAATCGACACGTACGTGTTTGCGGCCGAAGCTCCCGCTAAACGGTTGTTCGAAATACTCGTCGACGCCGGAAAATCACTAGCACGCGCTCCGTTTTGTTTTACTCGTTTGCGTTGCGTGCAAGTCCGTTTGGACCCTTCAATCTCTTTAAGTACCTACCTATATACTACATAGTTGCCCGTATACATGTGGACGGCGTCTTCTCTTTTGACGACCTTGTATCCGGAGTTGCCCGATTGCGGCCCGAATCCAGGTAGTTGTATTTTATCCCAAATATAAGTATCCCGATTGCGTCCAGAAACACATTGGTTCACAAAATGTTTAATATTTATTTTAAAAGTATAATTACAAGATTGCAGTAACTAATAGTAAAATAGTAAAATAATAAATTTTTTACGATATAAAAAGATATGAAATACAATTATGTCAATAAATAGTCGAATATTAAAATAATAAATTGTCTACAATAAAAAAAAAGTTAATAGTTGTTGTATACATCTATGAAAATTACCACGCCGAATATTGGTTATCGTGTGAATCGTGATTATGATAGTTGATCGTTTTTACGATGTCAAAATACGTATCGGACGCAATTGGGATATTCATTTGGTTTTGATAACCACTTGAATAGTAATTCCTACCTGCTATGCACGGGCCGCAATCGGGATAGGTGAAAAGGTAAAAAGGTTACTTTGGCCGCAATCGGGCGACGCCCCTTGTATCGGCAGTCCTCATCCGGAGATCCGAACGGTGGATTATTTTACCTCTACGACCAACAGCATTTCATCATTATCCTCAGGAAAATTAATTCGGTGGTTTCCTCTTTCTTTCTGCATCGCAGTTGGTGAGCAATTACTTGAAATATTTTCAGGCTGTCTCTACCATATCCTTCAATTGCCGTAAGCCAAATAATCGGTAATAGCGGTTGCTGTTTCTCCCGCCACTACCTCATTTTAACCGTCTTTTACGATAAGCAAGGGTTACTGTAGTCCTATTCTAACCCCGGACACACAGAGGAACGTGGACGGCGTGCATTAGTTAAGACTTATAAGAAAATGAGTACATGCAATTTTCGGTGATTCTTTTTCTTTATACAATACAATAAATGTACATTTGTGAAGAACAGTTTTAACAGCAATGTTTGGTCGTTCAGCGAGCAGTGCGGATTACGCGACAGTTCACGTTACAACGAAAACGCCGTAAAACGAAATAAATCGCAAGCGAATAGAGCCGTGATGTCATATTATAATGTTGTAAAAGGGCAATAGATACGACCGAAAATACAGAACGAATGTTTCCCGTTTGACCAAATTGGTAATATTATGAAGTCTTTAGATATCATATCAGAAACAATGTAACAACAGTAGACTCGAATAAATTATGGGGTAGCCGGATAAAACATTGTTTCATCGCCATAATAATATAATACAATAATTTACACAAAACAAAAAAAAAAAAACTAACTCAGTTACCAATTTAGTCTCTCGTGGGAAATTTTTATTCGTGGTGAATTCATGTGTACAGTTATTAACGCTTGATTTCCTTAGAAACACGAAAGAGAGACGACTTCCGTCGATTATGATGTAATAGTGTTAACTACAATGTACACATGTACATTATATACATCGGAAATTTGAACAATTAAATTTGCTATGAAATAATATACATGTTATTAAAAAAAAAATCCACTGCTTTCTACAAATAAAAAATCCAAATATGATTATATTATCATCATTATATAATAAAGATGAGTTGAAAACAAAAATTTCCTCACGTTTAATACGATCATCTTTAGGCGTATTATGTAAAGAAATTTAAATCGTAAATGGTTAAAGTATTCATGATACATCAAACAGACCGTGGATGCAAATATAGATCTTTTAAACAATACATCAGTACTTGAAACACATGTACGAAGAAAAAAGGGAAAATGAACAAACTGAAATTTTAAGTTTGTAGATTTAAAGTATGCCCTACACTATTATCTCCGTATTCGATAATATCTTAACGAGCACACGTTAATGGCTAGGTGCAGTAGCGTAAAAAAACAACATAAAATCTAGGTGATAAAACATTCATAATTTTGCAAGACTAAGTAAAGATAAATTAATGTTTAAAAAAGTATGTATTTGTTAGCAAATACTACAGGATATTTCTTAGATTAATAATTACTATATTTTTGTTTTTAAGGTACCCAATTAACTACTATCTGTTACACACAAGCTTATTGTAACCCACTTACAAAATAATAACATTTAATGTTATTCTTGACAGTTTAGAAAAAAATATAAGATTACTGCTGCTTGCATGTCACAATGCACATTTCTTTTAAAATAAATAAAATAATATTTAACAGTTTTACTCTTAATTTCAGTACAATAAATAATATATTATAATAATTTTTCATATAACTATTACTTTTTAATTAAAACTTATATTTTCGTGTAATTAATTCAATTAGTTTATAATTTATAAAATATTCAAATATTTTTAGAACTAATAAAAAATTGAGAATGAATTAAATTTTAATTTAACTCCAGTAAGATTTTCTATTTTTATTTTGAATGAATAAAATGCGATTGTTTTCAAAATAATTTATCACACCCTCATGTGTTGTCTCTGTTAGACATACGTACAACACAGCAAATTTGCGTTCAGTGATTCAAATAGCGTGATGCTAGCGTTAATATTAGAGTAAACTGACCTATTATCAAACGTTAAGAAAAGAACATTATCTGTGTTTTGTTGGTCGGGTTTTTCCGATATTTAATTTTTTTAGCGAGTTATGATGTTTTTTTATTTGTTATTTTTTACATACCCATAACACGCTTAAAAATTTAAATATCGGAAAAAACCGACAAACAAAACACATATAATGTCTTCCATTAAAGTTTGATTATAGGTCAGTTTACTCTAATATTAAAGCTAACATCACTACATTTGAATGACTGAACGCAAATTTACTATGTTTTACGTATGTCAGACAAAGACAACACATGCGGATGTGGCGTCCTCTTAATGATAATGATTGAATCCTTAAAAAAACAATATACTAACAAATAATATTGTACAACTATGAGATATTAGAATTAATCATTCATATATACAAATGTCTGCGGTAATTTAACATCATGTACGAGTCAATGAAAGTATTTTGTGTTTATACACTTAAGCTCTAAATTAATGATCGTTGCTTTATGCTTTATTTATGCACTTCTGAAAAAACAAACTAAAAAAGTTAACTAACCGAATACTTATAGAATCAAAAACAGTTATCGACTTGTAGCTTATTGATGTAATTTTTTTTTCACTTTGAAATCGACGACGACCCCGGAACTGTTTTTCACAATGCTTCGGGGCATCTTATTAATATAATTACAATCGAGTTGCGTTCATTTGATTGTTAAAAGCGTGTGTTTTATATCTATATTTTATCTTATATATATTAACATTTATTTTAATACTATATATAATTGATTTTAACTTTAATGTATACAATTTTTTTTCTTTGTTTTACTTCTATTACTTTTTCAAATTGAATATCTTTTAGCGGCTCTGCAGATTTTACGGTTCTTTTTCATTACAAACAACGCACATTTGACATTGATTTTGATACAAACAGTGGTTAAGTATTGGTCAAATCTGCGATTTTGAAATCATAAATTATGTGTTTGTTCTGTTACCTAACGTAGGTATATACCTATATGTATGCACACTGCATATATATACTAGACATTTGTAGAAATAAATTGGTCACGTTCTGTAAATTTGAAATATTTTTAGATTCTATTAATTTAAAATTATAGGACAGCTACAAATTACAATTTCAATTAATATTCATTGGAGGTACGATTTCGTTACAAGACAACATTTTACACAACGTTATTATTTTCTCACCCTATGAATACCCATACACAGATAAATGATAATACAAGTGCTAAAGATACCGAAGTATTATTTTGTAATGTATTAATAATGATGTCTTGTTTCAAAGGTAGTTTTAATTTCAAATGTATTTTTGGAGACTTTAACGAACTATTATGACATACATATATATATACTTAGTATATTATATATATTACTTTATAAAATATTGCAATATTACATCTCAGACCTCTCTACGTACAT